TTCTCATATTCAAACCATAAAATTCCATCCCTGGCTCCAAAAGCTCTTACCCATCTCACAGTGCAAAATTAATTTAGCCCATTTTCAGGAATCCTCATAGTTTTAACAGTTCTACCATTGCCAGAATTCTAAGTTCAAAATCTCATTTGAGACTCAAGGCACACTGCTGCCTATGAGCCCCTATAAAGATCAAAAGCAAGTCACATATATCCAAGATCTGATGGCATAGAATAAGCATTTCCATTCCAAAGGGAAGAAATAGGGGCATAGAAAGAAGTGAGTGGACTAAAGCAATACTGAAATCCAACAGGGCAAACAAGTCCTTTACTTCCGTGTCCAGCATCTGGGGCACATGGCATTGTGATGTTCTCTCCAAAGAGCTTGTTTAGCTCCTTCTCTATGGTCTTGCTGGTTGTAGCCCACATGGCCTCTCTCTTGGCTTGTTGCAGCTTTCCTTGGCAGAGATTCCAGAATACTTGCATCTCTTAATTGCAGAAATCTGCATTGCAGCTTCAACTTCTCACATCTGCATGCATCAGGGTACCCTCTCAGGGGCTGCCTACAGGGTCCTGACCCCGATAAACTTTGCCTAGCCTCCCAGGCCTTTCTTTGCGATCTCAGTGGACACTTCCATGGCACTGTAACTTAATCATTCTGTCCTATATATTTTATTTATATTACTCATCTTTGTGACTATTTAAGTGGTCACTTTTCTCTAAATCTTTCCACTACATGTTAGTTTGTGCTCTACGTATCTACCTGTACAACAGCCCATCCCTCCAAGATAAATTTCAACTTGAAACCCGGTGTTTATGAAAGTACATGAATCTACTAGTTGCTTCATAAAGACTGGAAGGATAAATGAATTAATGAATTTATAATATGAAATAACAGGAAGTAATTTCTCAGGAAACAGATATTTGAAACTGTTAGCTATGCCATTCACACATCTGATTCTTCTACTAAATTCTATGTAGTTTTTGACATTTGAGAATGACTGTATTTGTTTTTGTTTCTAATATGAAGTTGCCACCATAATTTTTGTCTTAGTTTGATAGGATTGGCAAAGTAAGTATTTTCCATGTAAGCTCCATTTACAATACTCTGAGGCTTCTCTAACCTTAATTTTCAAAAGTTTCCAAACTCCTCCCAGAAACCTCTTCCAAATGCTCTGAACCACATAGATTAGTCACAGCTATGACCCCACTTCCCAGTACCAGTTTCTGCTTTAGTCAACATTCCATCTCTTTTATCAAGACAGTCAACAAGAACAACTCAGAGGTCCTCTTGAGTTTATTTTGGTTTATGATTTTCAGAGTTTCAGTTCATGGTCACCTGACTCTATTGCTTTGGAGCTGAGGTGAGACAGAATACAATGGTGGAAGGGCATGGAAGAGGAAAGCAGCTCAGAACATGGAAACCAGGAAGGGAAGATAGAGAGAGGGAGAGAGGAGGAAAGAGGGTGGGGGTAAGTGTGCACCAGGGACAAAACATAAACCCAAAGCATGCCTCCAGTGACCTACTTCCTCCAGCCACATCCTATTTGCCTACAGTTGCCACCCAGTTAGTTCATTCAAGTGAATTAATACCAATTAGGTTCCAGTGTTCACAACCTGATCATTTCACTTCTGAACACCCTTGCATCATCACATACAAAAGCTTTTGGGGGACCCTAGCTCCAAACCACAGCACTGGGAGTGTGCCTGTGTATGCCCTGGTCTCTCCCTCTTCTTTTAAAGTCACAATCACTGGGGCACAATCCTGATGACCTTAACTAGTACTACTCACTTCCTGAAGGCTCCACCTCTAGACACCATAGTTGGATTAAATTTCCACCCTCTTAATATCTCACAATGGGGAAGAAATTTCCACATGAGTATCAGAAGAGAAAAACCATAGAAAATCATACAACTGTAATTTTAAAATTAAATTTTACACATATCTCTCTATTGAGAATTATTCCTGGCCTCTGGAAGGTTTACTTTTCCACCCCCTTATTAATGAGCAATAGTGACTGTCTACTGATCAAGAATGTCTATGATGTAACTCTTATAAAATTAATTTTTACAATTTTTTTTCTAGCAAGACACTGATTTATCCCTGCTTGTCATTTTCTAGCAATTATATGGTGCCTTGTGGTTCATGATATTCTGTTGTTTCTCCCTGCTGAACAGAACTTCTTTCTTTCTCCCAGCTGACACAGTTCAAACCAGAGAGCTCTTGGCTTCACGTTTATATGTCTCTCCGCAGAGAGCTCCGAGGCGCTGTCTTTTTGTGGAAGTTCTTGCTCTCCTTGGGCTTTCTGGGACACCCATTTCCTAGCCCAGAGAGCACAACATTCTTTTAAATAGCTGTCTTATCGATTTGCGTCCATGCTGTTTGTACTCGTGCCCGGAGGATGTGTGTATCTTCAAGGGAAACATATTCAAAATTGAATAAATAAACAGGAGTTGTAGAGAATCTGCTCTTGTGTCAGGAAACTAAGACTGGGATCGGGTATCAGCCCCTTGTTTGAGGGTCAGTCTACATCTGGGGGTGCCACTAGCTTTCTGAAGATAGGTCTGGGAGCAGAAGAAGAGAAGGAGAAAAAGAATGAGGGAGTGTGGAGGCTGAGGACCACAAGTGAGACATGGAAAGAGCAAATGAGCAGCACGGCAGGGAACGAAAATGCACCTGTGCATGTACATGTGTGTGTGTGTGTTCCCCAGGATCCAGGATCACATGGACATGGGAAGAGAAGGAAAGATCTAGACGGGTGTCTTAATGTTTCTTAGGGTAAAGGGGAAAATAGACAAATTAGAAAAAAAAAATCTGACCAGAAAAATCCAACAGCTTCTAGGGAAGAATTTCACTTAGGTAAAATAATACATGCTTAGGTATAAATGCAAAAGAAATGAATGGGGGAAAAAAGAGAGTTCTATCAGCCACAGTAAGTTCTATCAGCCATGGTAAGATATTAAACCAGAAGTTCATCTCATAAGTTAGCGGGCTGTGATGGAGAGGGATACTGGAGTACCTGCAAGATCTTTGAGTTGGGTGAGGGGTTCTCTGGTGTTCATTTATATAGTTGCTCACCCTTATTTATAGCAGATACATCCAGAGACCCCTGGTAGATGCTGGGAGCTGCAGATAGTAGCAAAGCCTATACTGTGTTTTCTCCTACACAAATTGTAATAGCCACTGTGACAAAATACCTGAGGGGAAAAAAAAACAACTTAAAAGAAGAAAGATTTATTTTGATTCACAGTTTCAGAGGTTTCAGTCTCTTGACCCCATTACTTTGGCTGGTGGCAAGGCAAGACATCCTAGTGGCAAAACCCTTAACAATGAGGAGTTATATGTGGTGGAGCAAAGTTGCTCACATCATGGTGGCCTCGAAACAAAGAGAAGTAAAGAAGGAAGGGACCAGAGACAAAACATATCCTTCAGGGACACACCCCCAATGACCTACTTCCTGCTAAAGTTCCCACCACTTCCCAACAGTTCATTAAGGTATGAATTCATCAATGGATTAATCCACTGATGAGGCCAGAGCCCTTACAGCCCGATCACCTCCCAAAGGGCCACCTCTGAACACTGCTGTACTGGGGACCAAGCCTTCAATGCATGAGCTTTTAGGGACATTTCAGATCCAAATCATAAGAAATGCATACTCATAGTAATATTTATCTTATAAATTAGGCCCAGAAAGAGATGAACAACAATGAGTGATAATAGAATCATTATAACAATATATTGTAATATCATTTATGAAGATGTGGCCTTTCTCTTTTTTTTTCCTCTCAAAATATCTTCAGAAAAGGTAAAGTCAATTACCTAGAATTTCAAATGGTTTACATTTGCCAGTTTCTCTCTCTCTCTCATACACTTTGCTAAATTGAGATTATATCATTCTACCCCCTAAATTTTAAAGCAAATATTTTTCCAAGACCAGAGATAATCTCTGAATAATCTGTGTTATCGGACACTGAGCATTAATGTTGATGAAATACTGTCACCTAATGCACAATCTAAGTCTCTGATTGTTCCAATAATGTCCTTTGCTAACAACAACAAGAAGAAACCCAGGATCTGCTTGCATTTTGGGGGTCAGTTAGGTCAGTTATTTTGTAAAACATTCCTCAATTTAACTTTGTCTGATTATTTCTTTTTGATTAAATTCAGGCTGAACATTCATGCAGGAGTACTACTAAGGTGGTATAAAACACTGAAAATACCTCACGGGAGGAACACATGATGTCCATTTCCATTATCAATGGTGTTAAATTTGATCATTTAGTTATGATGCTGTGCACCAGATTTCTCTGTTGTATTGGTAAAATTTCTCTTTTGTGGGAAATAAGTTAGTCCGGGGGGTGATACTTTGAGATTCTGTGAATATCTTGTTCCCCAGTGACATTTTACCCTTTGTTTCTACTGTCTCTCTGTGTCCTGACTTAGATAATTATTGCTCTGGTGATTATCAAATAGTGGTTTTTCAAATTCTGTAATTTTCTATGCATCAGTTGATAGTCTTCTCTGAAGAAGAAACTTTCTTTCTCCTCTACATTTTCTAATCAGTATATGCTTGTGGACTTTTAAAATATTTAAATTTAAGAGAGTATGCATTTATTTATAACACATTTCTGACATTTGTCATTTTTTATAATTTTTTAATTTGTTTTAATTAGTTACACGTGACAGTACAATGATCTTGACATATCATACATCTGAATCAGATGGGATATAATTTCTCATTTTTCTGAGCGTACAGGTTGTGGAATCACATTGGTTATGCAGTCAGTCATGTATATACACACATTTGTCATTTTGAAGTTTCTGTTTTTCCATATTTGGCCAGCAGGAGCCTGTATCAGAAAAGTTTTTGAAAAAAAAATTATCAAATGAAGGAAAGAACAGTATGAAGTGAGGAACACATCTGTGCTTACCCTGTGTTCCCCCAAGTATCTCTCCTTGTTAATCTAACACGAATGCACTTTTTTTTTTTTATTTCTCTCTAGGTCTGATGGACTAATTGGCTTTCGTTCAGCAGGAACCTAACAGATAAGTCCTTCTGCTGTGTATCAAGACCATGCTTGGTTGAAAAACTTCTGAAAATGATCAAAGCCGTGTTGCAATGTGACATGGTCAGAGGAGGACAAACAGCTTGAGGATTTCCTGTTCATCACATCACAGCTTGAAGGAAGCCCCTTTCCATCAAGCGCAACTGCATGGCCAGCAGTCCCCACTGAAGGGTTGACAATGAGCGTCCCAGCAGCTCCCAAGAAATCATGTTTCAATCAGTCGCGGGACAACAGAAATGGTGCGAAAAACAATAATGAGAGCATCCTAAGTCTGGGAGATACAAATGCCAATCAAATCATGTTGGAGGTCAGCTCCTCTCAGGGTGAGCCCGAGACACAGGACCTGGTGGATGAAATTGGAAATGCAAATTCAAGGGGGCCAGAACACCACACCCACTTCCTTAAGGAACCTCACCAATATCAGGGCTTTGGGAAAGGACCTCAGGCTGCCTCCACCAGTTTGAAAGATTTTAAACTTTCTCCGACCATCCAGAGGGAGCTACCTGAAGAGCATACGATGGAGAGAAGCACAGATTTCCTGCAGAACCCTCGGAGTGTGCAGGGACCAAGCCTGTCAAGTTGGAGGACTGTCGTGGGTGAGGCTAGTCTAGAGGTTCTGGCTAAAAGGGATGTTGAAATTCCCAGGCACGTTCCCAAGGATAAGTTGGCAAAGACCCTGGACAATGAGGAATTGAAAAGGCATTCTTTGGAAAGAGCTAGCAGCTCTGCAGCTGGGCTTGGGAGCTTGACTCTGCAGCATCAGCAGCCTGCACAACTGGATGCCCTTGAGCCCCGGGGTCATGTGCCTGGGGGTGGAGAAGGGCCACAGAGGACATGGACTGACCACTCTCCAGGGGCAGCTTTCCTTCCAGCTGATAATACCTCAGAGGGAAAGAGTGTGCGTCCTCCTAAACCATCTACCTCAGAAGCCAAGGAGACCAGTCCCTCAGAGACCCTGACAGAGGGTGCACACAGACTGAATGTTTGCCATGAGCCCGCATCACGTGCTGCCCATGCAGACCCTACTCTGAATTCGACTTTGTCATTGAAGGAAACCTTGAGTTATCCAGAAGCACAACTAGGTCAGGGGAGGGGGGAACCAAAGCTGGAACTGAAATATCTTCAATCCAGGACCGGGCAGGAGCTAAAGTCGACCCAGGCAGGGGGTCTGGGATGTCGCAAGGAAGAGAGTATGTCACACCAAGACAGAAAGGAGTCACATGGGGAAGCACACAAAGAAGCCATGTTTGCAGTTAGCAACGCTTCAAATGGCAGCCAGCACCATCCTGCAGGGGGAGGAGGCAACAGCCAGGAGAAGGCAGGAGTCGGTGCCAGGGTGGAGGGGCTTCTCCAGATCACCCCCAAACAGGGTCCTGCTTCCTTGGAGGTGGCTGGAAATCTTCCCACTGGCAAAGTGTCACCGAGTATAGGTAAGAAGTTGAAGGAAATGACATCCAGCAACTTTTTGCCCAGTGATGGCCACGTAGCTTTTGTTCCTAATGACCTGACGGACAGCAAGCCCTTGGATGTCAGCGAGGAGACAAAGAGGATGGGCAGTGGGAACAGGGAAAGGACCATGGGGTTGGCCTCAGACCCTTCTCCCGGAGAGAGCAAAACGGAGTCCCGGAACCCTCAAAGCAGCTGCTTAGGAGCAGGGGGAAAAGAGACCACAGTACCCATGGTGGAAAGTGAGAACCTTCCAGAAGATGCAGCCAAGAGTGAAATCACCCCATCAAGAGCAGAGTCAAGTCTCAGTACCCCGGCTCCTCTCCACCCAGAGACAACTGTGAACACGACCCACCAGCCCACGCCACCCAGTAGCAGTTTTCAGGACCTTGGTGTGTTCAGTGTGAACGCAGGGTCACCCTCAGCAGTGCCACCCGCCACTGATGGTGTGCGGCTGCTCAACACATCCCCCAAAGTGCCTGAGAAGAACACCTGCCCCAGTGGGATCCCTAAGCCTGTTGTCGCACCTTCCAAGGACACACCTGCCTCAGAGGAAGGAATGGAGAAGCATCAGGCTGAAAAAACAGAGGAAAGGACAGACGTGAAGCCCATCATCATGCCCAAGCCCAAGCATGTGAGGCCCAAGATCATCACCTACATCCGGAGGAATCCACAAGCCCTGGGCCAGGTGGACACTTCACTGGTCCCCGTGGGGCTTCCCTATGCCCCACCAGCCTGTAGCATGCCTCTTCCCCAGGAGGACAAGGTGGCAAGTGCAGACCTTAAGCCATCAGCTAGTCTCTATGAGAAATTCAAGCCAGACTTGCAGAAGCCAAGGGTCTTCAGTTCTGGATTGATGGTGTCTGGCATCAAGCCCCCAGGACATCACTTCAGTCAAATAAGTGAAAAGTTTTTGCAGGAGGTAAGAGATTGTCCCTCTGACATGACCTAGAACTTGTGTGTCCGAAAGTCTTCAATGAAGACTTTCAGGTGTTTAATACATCATGGAAACAAAATATCCTCTCTAAGCAAGTTGACAATGTTCATGCATATACATTTATAAAAGTCGATGCTTTTAAAAAATTTTTTTTAAATATTTATTTTTTTAGTTGTAGGTGAACACCATACCTTTATTTTATTTTATTTTTTATGTGGTGCTGAGGATTGAACCCAGTGCCTTATGCATGCTAGGTGAGTACTCTACCTCCAAGCCACAACCCCAGCTCCGAAGTCCATGGTTTTGATGGGAGGAGATCATCTAGGGGAATGGATAGTTTGGGCTTGAAAAGTTGAATGTCAAGATGAGACACACCCAACATCTAAAGAGACCCATTTTAATTTCACCTAGTGTGATCCATACGAAATTAGATAAGTATGCATTTAACTTGGTTTCCGTGTTTAAATAAGTGAGCATGATTCTGTAAGCCAGGTTAAAGCAAGAAAGAATTCAAAATAATTGGATTCTCTTCAAATTGATCAGACATCCTCTGATGGATAGTATTTCCGTTTTAGGAGAATCTCCTGTTCAAACATGTGAAGAACATTGGGAATGAGCGGAACATAATGTGATTTTAGTTTTTTTTTTTTTTTAGTAAAAATGATTATGACATTTAGCTAATTGTCTACTATGTTCTGGGCCCACCTAGCATCGTCTTTGTCAGTCTCCACTCACCCTTACAGTGATTCTCTGGAGGTTGGTATTACAGTGTTTATCATTGTAGATATGAACGTGGACTTGGGGGGTGTAAACCATTCACCTAAGGCTACAAATCAAGGACGGCACTGAGTCTCAAGCCTGTGCAGTTGCAAACTGCTCCATGCTATTCCCATCAGTGCCCAGGTGCTATGATAAGTTATCCTCTAAGACCTCAGTAATCTGCTGAAACAACCTCTTCATGGGAGCCCGGGGTTAAAATGAAGGTTAATCAGATCATCTTCTTTCTAACATCCTCCAGGGTTATCCAGGACACCTGGAACAAAACCCAGAATGTGTAGGATGGCTCAGCCTTTAGGATGTGCTTCCTGTGGCTGCATTAGCTACCTACCCACCCTCCTCACCTTCTACTCCTCACTCTGCTGCCTCTGGACCTTTGCACATACTTCTGCTTGGAATGTTCTCCCAGTTATCCAAGTGGCTCTCTCCCTCACTTTCTTTAGGTCTGTGCTCAGATGTCATCTCATTGAACAATCTCCTCACCTTCCCTCTGAATCCATGTTCTTTGGTGTATTTCTTCCCATAACTTTCCTCTGTCTGACATACAGTTATTTCTGCACTGAGGAGAATGTCATTTCCACAAAGTGAATATTCTTTTCAATGTGTTGTTCCCTACTGGTTCTCAGAATTTATAATGGTGTTTGATATAAATGAATGCTCAAAAGATTTTGAATGGGGATAGAGTGTAGCTCAGCGGTAGAGCACTTGCCTAGCCTGTGTTTGATCTCCAGGGTTCAATGCCTAGCACCACACATACACAAATCCTGAATGGCAGTTCATTTATGAGCTCCATATCTGCCTGGATCCAAACAATAATACACTAAGACTAGAAATAGAATGATTGAGTCCAAGGCTGGACTCCAACTTGATTGAAAGTGCTGACATACTTAAAGAGCACTTAAAGAATGCAGGCTTGCACAGTGCTGTCTGCATGGCCTCCTGTTCATCATGGGCCTTTCCTGCACTGACCCTGTGACATCATATTCTAGCCAAGATGACCCTTGGGTCTGGCTCTAGGCAGTGGCTTCTCACTAACGTTGGACCAATTGCCATTCTGGTTTTATACATCAGCCTCTGGATTTGGTTAAGGTGAGTCATTCTCAAATTTTCAAATACTCATTCACCTGGGCCTCCAAGGCCAGCCTCATGCTCTGCTGCTGGCCACTCCTACTAGCCCCTGGGAGCTGACCCTCCCGAGGCCTGCAGGCACCTTCTTCTCAAAGTATCACTGCAGACGTTCCATGAAAGGACCTTAGATTTTTCTCTGCCAAACATGCTCACGAGGAAAACTTGATTTGGAGATGAGGACAGATATCCTGTTACTATCGGCAATTCTTTCTCAGGGGCCTCTTGTTTTTCTTCTGTATGTTCCTTTTCTATGTTGCTTCTGTTTTCT